GGCTCCCCGCCCGCCGCCGGGCCCGGGGCTCACCCTCGCCCCGCGCTCGGCTGCCCAGGCCTCGCAGCCCGGGTGAGGCGCGGGGGAGCCCGCGGGGGAGCAGGGCAGGGGAAAGGAGCTGGCCCTAAATTTGGCAGCGACAGCGAACTGTGCGAGCCGAGGCTCGCAGTAATCCCCGGGCAGCTGCGCTAGCGAGAGCTACGCGTGCTCGTAGCTCGTGCTGTGGGCTTGTTTGTGGAATCATTATCCCTTACAACCGCAAATAATTGCTTAAGTACAGAAGGAGCCCACAACATATATTAGCAACACGGATCGACACCGTAAAGGTGTATCCTTTTTACTATTAAACTTACGAATATGGTGAAGTTATTTAAGATTGTTTTTAAACATCAACTAGCCAAGAAAAGTATCACAGCTCTTTTAAGATTACCCAAGAATGTTGCGTTATCTCCGAGCCAGAAGATGCAGTTTAGGTGTGAAGTACCGTGCCTAACACACGAAGATGGAGCTCACTGTGCATCACAGGACGGAATACTACCGTCATCGCATCCCTTTTTGACCAACAAGTGATAAGACCTGGCTATGCAGTAACCACTGCAACAGGAGGTACAAGCCCCGCAGGACTCTTAATCTTCATCCCACCACGTGGACTCTAAAGCTGTCAAGTGCAAAACGCAGGTAGGGAGCCAAGAAGCATTCATTATAGATATATGACAATTAGAACTGATTTTAAAAATAACCTTTTTTTTTCCAAATTCTATTTCACTGTACCAATTAAAAATAAAACTAAAGTAGAAAGAAATTTAATCTTCAAGTGCCACAGTTATTACAGTATCTTAGGATGAAGAAAATCCAAATTCATATGTGGAAGAAGGGTGTACATACGTACAGAAATGAGCTATTCTCTCCCATTTCTTTCAAAAAAGACAAATTCTAAACCACACTGAAATAGTTCTAAGCAGCAGTATTTCAAAATAAGTAACTACCTGAATTTAAAAAGCTTTTATGTGTTTCTCTCAAGAGTGTTTTTAACATAACTTTTACATGCCCTCTTTCTAAGTAGGATCTTTCTAACAGGATATTGCCATTCAGTGTGAAGATGACATAAAAATACAAGTATAAAGCAATACCAAATATTCATCCTTTCAGTTATTTTTTCCCTTTTATAGTCTTTATTACTGAAGAGGAAATTGTTTTCTTCCCTTTCAGCATGCAGGAATTATTAGTACAGCATATTGAGCATCTTAAGACAGAAATTTAGCATCACATCAGTAACTGAATCTCTACTATATAGCCTAGAAAAAATTCTGATTGCGTCTATCATTTCCCAGTCTAGGTGTATTTGGCTTTGCTGCAGTATCTAAAGCTACACTCACAGTAAGAGCTGTGTAAACAGCACTAAACAATCATTTTAAGTCTTTACTTGCTGCATGTACAGAACCACAGAACACTTTGGGTTAGAAGGGACCTTAAAGATCCTCTCATTCCCTCTGCCATAGGCAGGGACATCTTCCCCTAAGAAAGGAATGAGAAGGAAGTGTCTTTACAAACAAACTGTGGGCCTGATGGTAGATAAGGCCAGATACAGAGAGGTGAAAGAAGCAGTGGGGGTAATCATAATTCTATTGAAATTATTCTATTGAATAATTCCATTCTATTGAAATTCCACTAATTGACACAGGGTCACTCAAGAGTGCACTAAATCTCTGGATTTAGAGAAAAGGAACAGAGACTCAAGGAAAAAGAAAAATGGGACAGGGTATACATTAGAAGAGGGTCATAGGTATTAGACATTTTGGGGAGTCTGTACCTCTCAAGTACTTCAGCCAATGGGGGAGAGAGGGCAAATGTGACCAGAAAATTCAGATAAAAAGGAGGCTGTGTCCCCTAAAAATTTTTAGAGACCCCATGGGGAATGCCCCATGACCTCTCCCTTTATTTAAGTGAATTTACAGGACTCCTGTCTCCTTTTTGGACATAAACCTCTGGTATTTGTGGATTAATTTTCCTGACACCTACACCTGGCAGCTCAAAGCCTCATCCAACTGGCCTTGGACAGGGGCATCCACAGCTTCTCTGGGAAACCTGTTCCAGTGCCTCACCCCTCTCAGAGGGAAGAATTTCTTCCTAACATCCAATCTACACCTGCCCTCTTTCAGTTTAAAGCCATTCCCCCTTGTTCTATCACTACATGCCTCTGTAAAAAGTCCCTCTCCCTCTCTTGTAGCCCCTTTACATATCGGAAGGACTCTAGACTGTCCACAGAGCCTCCTCCTCTCCAGGCTGAAGAACCACAAGTCACCTATCCTGTCTTCAATTAATGGCACTGTTTGATAAGATCCTCCCACAGAGCAACTGAAATCTCTGCTTCTAAATACTTCAAGTCAGTGCTAGGACTCCACAGTAAAAGATTTTCTCTGGTGTTCTCAAATGGAAAATTGGTTCCACTCCTTCTTCTCAAAGTACATAATGCTGTAGATGTCAATGTGCCATCTCCCTGCTTCCCACCATCACTCTCCACCAGAAGCAACAACTGCACTATTGGTCAGTGTACAGATAATAGTTTTCACCCTCTGTAAGATGACCCAAGTAGCAAATATTTTTTCACTCAATGTAAAGTCTTGTTTACAAAGAACACCAAGGTCCCAATCTCAATGAAGCACAGTCTATCCATAGGTATATTGCACTGTGAACTCCAAAAAAGCAGAGCAAAACAAGATACCACAGTAGCCCACCTTCTAAAATACAACATATCCATTGCAAAGATTGAATATATATTTTTTTTAAATCTTAGTGCAAAATTAAAACACCAATATGAGGAGAGAAACTCAAGTTTTCAGCAAGAACACAAAGAGTAATAAAAAAAAAAATGGGGGGAAAATGAAAAGAAACTGCACATCCAAGTATGACAAAGAAGTGGATATACAAAATACTTCCTACATCCTATATCTTAGGGAGAGATAACATTTCTCACACTTTAAGCAAGATTTGTAGAATGCATCAATTTAAGAATGGCTTACTGAAAGGCATCCCTTGTTCCCAGCCATGCTTAGTCCTTCCTTTCCACCATTCAGCATTACAAGTTGCCTAGTGCCAATACAAAAGCCTCCTACCAAGCCCCATTGTCCGTCCTCAAGCAGTTGGAAATCTGACCTATATAGCACCTGACCCCAAAGAATGTCAGTTTCCAGAAATTCCCCCTCACTTGCTAACAGACCAACTAGTTAATGAGTAGTTTACTACACTAGCAGTGTAAAATTAGTGCTTTAAGTATATAATTTACAAATGCAACTAAATACCCTTCAAAAGATGAGAGGCAAAAAAAAAAAGTAAAAACACTGGACTGCTTTGTGTCCTCCTCTAGTAATTTAACCATTGCATAACAAATAAGACAACACAAAGAAACATGGGTAATTCCTGTGCTTAGAAGCCACTGGTTAAGATATAAAACAGCAGCAATCTCTAAGGATGCTCAAAGAAACCTGTAGGCTTTACCACACCATTCACACTTCCATACCCACCTTCACTGCACATGTAGAACCTAGGAACTGCCATACTGAGGAACTTAATTTCCCATCTTAGTATTCAGTAAGGAACTGTGTAGTGCATCATATTTATAATATGCTGACAACAGCAGCTCTTTATCCCTGGAGCCTTCAGACAATTGTCCAACCTATGCCCTGACAGATGTGGTATTACAAGACAATGCAATATAATTATATTGTCCAATACATAAGTTCCTCCCAAATACACAACAAAAATCTATAGCTTAAGTTACATTTACAGCCCCAGTGATGTCCTATACAGAATTTAGGAATTCAAAACTCCAGCCACCTGAGCAACAGTGGGGCTCACACCTCATACACCCATCTTCACCTCCTTTAAAACAAATAAGATACAGCATGAAATCTCAAGATACCATAAAAGCCAGTTGTTTCAGAATTGAACTCCCCCAAAACTGTTCTTTCATGATGCACTCATTATAGGTATATAAGCTCTTACCATATTAAGGAAAAACACTCCACAAAATAAGAAACTGTGTTCCTTTCCTTTATTATGAAGTACCAATACCTTGCATACAACATGCAATTTATTGCTTATTGACATTATTGCATATATCAAAGGGAAAAAAAATCAGCCAATATCATTTTATGCAAGCTCCTAAACTGTTCAAACAAAATACAGAAATGCTTTACAATATCACTGAAATGCTAACAAATAATTCAGATTCTTTCTTATAATAAAAAGTAAATTTAAACCCATAATACTTAATAATTCACTTTATTATGATGGTTACTTTTATCACCAATCTTCAGAATTGTTATATTGCATTTTTAAGTTCTTGTGCCATGATAAGGATTGCTACTACAACCAGGTCACATTACTAGTTGAATTTAATAATGTGATCCTGACATTTTGTGACAGTATTAGAATTTACTGCAAACCAGATTGTCAAGATTTACAGGAAATCAATCTAGCAGAATCTAGTTTTCATCCTTGCTCTGCACATTAAGTTAGATAAACTCATCAAGTTTCTTCTTAGCTAGAAGATTATACAAACATTTTCAAATTACAGGCTTCATTACTTATGCCTAACTTGTAACTCGTTTCTTCCAAACAGGTTTTCTAATTTGATTTTATAGCAGGTTAGCTGTGCTTATTTTACATAAATGGTATCTGTCAATATTGAAGAAAACACTGTTTGATAAATGCATGCTAGAAACAAATCCAGGACATTTGGATGTGTGCATATTAAGTGTGCAAATTATATAGCCGAGCTCATGATTAGCCCTTTTCCTCCCTTCCCCCTATGATTTGATAGATTTTTCTCATGAAACTGGAATAGGATTACTATAAACAAAACCACATTGCATTCAAAATTTTGTATTCTGTATTACAGCTTAGTACTCATATTTAAATGTTGCTTTCAAACCTAGCAAATTTTTAAAAATACCAAAATTTAAAAACTTAGAAGACCGTTTACATGCAATATGTTCCATTTGGGTGCAGATTCTCATATACTTAAATATTTATAGGCTCATAAAAGCATGTCCTGTCCACAAGACAAGTACAATGTTTGACATCCCACACATAGATTAAAAATAAAAATACAATACAGAATATTTTATTTGCTTTTATATTTTCAATTTCAGTAAGTAGGAAGTTATAAATAGCACACTGAATCATTATAAGGTTGATACCAAGCCATGCTGATCTCTTCATACTTCACTCTCTTAAAGACACTTCTTTTGCTTACAACTGTGTTAAAAATGTATTTACTTCGTATTAAACAGATGCCCTCTCAGTGAAGGACATCACACAATGAAACTTCTCGGAAAAAAATTGCCAAAATATTTCTTATACCAAACAATACTATTTATTCTTCATAGCTACCTTCCATTCTTTACTGAGCAATAAAGTGCTTGGTTATTATAAATAGAGCAAGACTTTCAAAGGAGGTAGCTAGCAGAATTTTTTAATGGGTAAGAAACCTTACCAAGTGTTACCATCTAAAAGTATGACTTGATGCTTTATCCCAGGCAGCACATATTTCATCTTCTCTGCCATAAAAACAACTTTCAAGTTGCTTTCAGAAAAGCCTAAGAACTTCACCTGTCTAACACAGATTTTATCCAGGTTTGGGTGAATGCTAGAAGTTCATAAATATTATCACTATTTCTATCTGACTGCTGTCAATCAGGGTATCAGCAATGAAGTACTGTTCTTTTTCTGCCTTTATTCCATAGACAGAGAAAGCTGACCAGGAACAAGCTTTCCCTTGTGGAGTTTCTTGTAGCCAGATAACGCTGTTGTACAGTAGGCTATTAAAAATATGAAAGGGGCTTACAATACTTTTCAAAGTCTTCTACACTTGCATTTTTTCATCTGAAAATTCTAGTCCCTTTCTATTTGCTTTGTTGATGGCCTTTAGCAGCAGCAGCCAACACCACACCAGACCCTAAGCTGGAGTAATTGTCAAGCAGCCCTTTATTTTCCTCTGAATGGCTCAGCAGAAGCATCACAAAACAATTTTTCAAACTTTTCTATTAAATAGTCCTTTAAAGAAAGCTTGGACATACATATGCTTAAACACACACAAGGCCATGAGAAAATATCCTCTTCATACAGTAATCAACAACTGGTATTCCATTTTATACAGCTTGAAAATTTTAAAAAATAAAATTTCATCTTCCATCGTGAACAGCCACAAACACCTAAACCTTTCTGCTACGTGTCAGTCTGCTGTTGTCCCAACCACAGCAGTAGGAAGACATCTGGATCTCAGTGTGTACTCAAAGTCTCCTCCTCTCCTCTTTAAATCTGCCTGAATGCATCTGCTCACTTGTGTAAGCTTTTACTCTTAGGTTGTTAGTTCTGCACATCTTCTCCCATAGTTTTTTAAGTAAAGATGGAACTCATTCTCTTTCAAACACTGTAACTAATTTGACTTTTAATAAACTTTAGTACAAAATTTGGAATTATTAAGGTTTTATATATAAAGTCAGCTCCCCTCATTTTCCTATGCAAATATTTCATTATTCAACAGATTATATTTTTAAGTAATTATGTTATGAAATTATGGAGCTCACTCAAGAAAGATAGCATGTATTTATAGAGGTAGAGTAGGCTTCAGAGATGTAATTCTTACCACTGAAGAATTCACACAGATAACCCATGCAGCATCCCTGCTGTGTGAGACTCTCCACTGAAATCCACTGAAACACTCTCTGACAAAATGAGTATTTGAAGTAAACTTCCTCTCTGCAAGTACTGATTCCACAAATCAGTTACAGAACACCTGACCTACCATTCTCCTGTAGAGTTCTGAAAGTGGTATTTACTCATCTTTTGATGAAAAATTAAAGCCATAAAAAAGGGAAACTTGCATTTCTACATACACCCTAACTGGTACAAATAGTCTCTCCCATGATCAGCAAGTTAATTTTATGTCACCTGGTACTGAAGGATAGAAAAGAAAAACAAGTTATTTTTTACAAGAGTCACCCCTTCCATTTGATATGCCCACAGAAAAGACACCAGGTGACATGCCAAAAGTCTGCTTTCACAATGCATCTGTTAAAAATAGAAGTTTTAAGCCACTAATAAGATATTACATTCAAAAGCATTTGTTATGATGCTAATTATCATGCATTTACTTTTTTTTCATAAAAAAGCAAAGACACAAGCTTACAACATTAAATTTTATCAATATTTCACCACATTTTAAAAATTAATAAAGTGCAATTAAAAATGGGTGTCACAGGTATCTAATTTGCTGTATTATAAGCTTTTAATGGCAGATATAAAGTGCCCTATATACTATTGTATTCAGTATGTCACAACTTTGCCACCTGTTTACTAAAGTCTTTGATGAAACCACAGCTGTTAATAGTTTTTTACATAAGAAAAAGTTCTTCTGATTCATCAGGATACAATTGTAATAACTTTTTTTAAAAAATTATAAAATTTAAAGCTAATGCATTGCAAAATAAGTTTTTAATTACACTAATTTTGTACAGCAATCCAAAATACCAGCTGTTCTAAAAGAATTATCCCATTGCCCTTCAATCCTGGGCTGTTGGCCAAAGTGTAGTAACAAGAGTTTGGGGTTGTTTTTTGTTTCTAAATCTAGTTTCATCATCAACTGTATTATAGCTTGACTTACTTTTTTTTCTCCCTTATCAAACAGAAGTCTATCTAGAAGTGGAAGAAGAAGACCATTTTAATGAATGGTGAATTTAATGAACAAAATATTTCAAACACTGAAATATTAAAATCGATGTAAGAAATTGTAAATTTCAGAAACTTTTCATGAATTATCAACCTATGAGTTGCTCCAAATTGTCTTCTCAATTTTTTCATCCTACTTCCCTAAAAGGAAAGGCAGACTTCTATTTTCAAGCATACTTCTCCAAAATGTTTGAATTTACTTAATTTTATAAAGGAACAAGCTTTTACAAAACTATTAATCACAGGGATCTAGTGATTTAAAAAGCAAAGAGTATTTCATATACACCTTTAAATCATAAAGGTGGTAGAAACAGCCTTTTTACAATTTTGCATTAGGTACACTGAAAACACATTTTAAAAGATGCCAGGTTCTGCAAATTAGCATAAAAGAGAGTTGCTTTGAGCAAAACAGGTCACAGGACTGACTCTCAAAGACTGGATTTACTGGTGCCCAATAAGGCACTGTGCTCATTCAGATCATACAGCTCAACAGGTAACAGCTAACTCTCTCAAGGCATGAACACATCTTTTGTCCATAGGTCTGTGATGAATTAATAACCATGGGATCCAAAAAACACAAGTACTAACAATCCTTGCTATCTCCCTTAACAAGGCAGGATTGGGAAACTTTTAGAAAAAAAACCCTGCTGAGCTGAGCAATGGAACTAGACTTTCAAAAGTGCATTTTTCCCAAGTCCAAACAATACCCTCTGACAGCATTTTAACTGGGCAACTAAACTCACTGCAGCTGCCTTGCTTAAAAGGTATTTCAGCCTGTGCAGTCCTCTTGGGTCCTACATGCAACTTCTGGAAGAGGGGAATGCCCAGTCCCTCACCAGGGAGGTCAGCACGGGGCACTCACACCTGACTACGGAGGGGAGAGCTCATGTCACCCAGCTTTGTCAGAGGAACAGCACTAATCACCCAACACGGGGTAAATATGCTATCTTTCAGTTTAAAAATAAATTGCTTTAACAGATTGCTACAATAATTGGGATGTGCACTGAAGCCTCAGTGAAAATGGACGCTTTTAGCACATCTACACCAATGGAAAAAACCAGAAATTAATCAGTCACAATTCTGGTTAAAAGAAGCAAAACAAATAAATTTACACATAAATATAGCTCTCAAAATAATTTTAAGTAAAACATAACTCAGAATTTTCTCAAACTGTATCATAAATGAGATTTAGGACTATTCCTTGACGGTGAGATTCCTCCCTGATGACCTCCAAGCCTTCAAGATCAAAGACAGAGTAACTGAGTATGTATTGACAAATGTGTGGTCTAAAACAAAAAAAAAAAATTGTGTCTAAGAAAGTCAACCATTCCTTCTACAGAATTACCATACAGCTTTAGAGGAATTTGGCACAGTTAATTCAAGAGTGTTCTTAGTCACACCTCAGATTTCTGACTTGATT